TATTTTGTGAAACACGATCTAAAAATTTGGGTCACCATAATGATAGACGCCTTAGCAACACTCTCCCCAGCATTGCAGACCATGATTAGAGCCTGTCGGATCCAAAAATTTTCAGATCCATATCCGGGGAGCTCTAACTATGATAGGCATTGTTGATATATGATCAAAGACTGTATACCATTAACGTTTTGTTATAATCTATGAACTACTTCCTTCTTGTATTTCTGAAGAATTAAGCGAAAAGATGGGTGAAGATATATGTCTCCAAATACATAGGATTAAAAAATCTCCTTGTGATTATCAACCCCAACTACATTGTGTTTCACATTTTAATCCTGATGGGATTGTTCTAATAGCTTTTATTTATTAGGTATTATTGGATGGTGAAGATATTCGAAAATTAAATATTGAATGGCTTCGTTCACAGATTGGATATGTTGGACAAGAACCTGTTTTATTTTCTGGTACAATTCAAGATAATATTCGGTTGGGTAAACCTGATGCAACAGAAGTTAGTATTTAAAAAAATATTTAATTTAAAAAGAAAAATAAAGTCACTATTAAAATAAATTTAGATAGAAATCGATGAAGCTGCTAAAATGGCCAATGCTCATGAATTTATTCTTGATTTACCTGAAAAATATAAAACATCAGCAAAAGGAATGTTAAGTGGTGGACAAAAACAACGAATTGCTATTGCTCGTGCAATTATTTCGAATCCAAAAATTTTACTTTTAGATGAAGCAACTTCAGCATTAGGTAAAATTAAATCTCTTATTTAACATTCATCGATTTATTCCATGTATATATATATATATGTAGATACTAGAAGTGAAAAAATTGTACAAAATGCATTAAATAAAGCCAGTATAGGTCGAACAACAATTATTATTGCACATCGATTAACAACTATTCAAGATGCCGATCTTATTCTTGTTTTTGATAAAGGATCTATTGTTGAACAAGGTACACATAGAGAATTATTACAAATTGAAAATGGAATTTATCGTTCATTGGTTGCTCATTCGGATCAAGACGAAGAAGATGTAGAAGATGTAGAAGATGAACATGAAAATGTTCTAGGACCAAAACTATCACGTAATTCTTCAAGTAAATAATAATTAAAATTAATTATTTCTAATTGAAAAATATAAATATATTCTTTTTTTAAGTAAAACTATTAGGGCAAATGTCTTCGCTTGAGGCTGAAGAAACATCATCAAATGAGAAAGAAGAAAATATAAAACATTCTTGTTGTCATAGTCCATTCTTTATTAAATTACTTAAATTAAATTCACCTGAAAAATTTTATCTATTTATTGGTTGTATATGTTCTCTTATTTTTGGTGGTGTTGAACCAGCAGTTGGTTTAGTCTATTCAATCATTTATGGTCTTTTAGCCAATCCAAATCTTGATGAACAATCAATACGTACGCGAAATCTATCTTTAATTATTTTTGGTATTTATGTATTTGGTGGTATTGTACAATTTCTTAGTACAATTACATTTACTAAATCAGGTGAAGCATTAACATTACGTATGCGTTTGCGCACATTTGAAGCAATGTTAAGACAAGAAATGGGTTGGTTTGATGAAGAAAAAAATAGTGTTGGATCATTAGTTACTCGATTGTCAAGTGATACAGCTGCTCTTAAAGTAAAAAAAATTAAATATTTTGTTTTTGAAATTTAATTTTTTCGTATTCAAAGGGTTTGACAGGTGTTCGATTGAATGCATTTGTTTCATCATTGGGTACAACAATATTTGCACTTATTGTTGCATTTATGGCTGGTTGGAAATTAACATTAGTTGTTCTATGTTTCACTCCATTACTGATTTTTTCTGGTTATTTACAAGGACAAACACAATCAAAAGCAGGTCAATCAAAAACAGCAAAATCATTTGCTGAAGAAGGTGGAAGAGTATGTTGTTTTGTTTCTTTTTTGTTGTTTTATTTTTAAGATTTTAATATTTGTATGATTTAAATAGTATGCAGTTGAAGCTATTCAAGATATTCGTACAGTAGCAACGTTAAATCAAGAAAAATTTTTTATTAAAAAATATGAAGAAGCATTCTATCAAGATTTTAAGTAAGTTATTAAAAAAAAAAGAGTAAATATTTTTTTATGAATAATTATTTAAATTAATAGAAAACGTATGTGTAAAATTCCAATTCAAGCATTAGGCAAAGCAATAGCAAATTCATTTTTATATTTTATACATGTTACAGCATTTAGTTATGGTGCAAGTTTAGTTGAAAGTGGTCAAATGGGTTTTGCAGAAGTTTTTCGTGTATTTATTGTTATTAATTTTGCTTCAATGTCTGTTGGTCGAAGTACATCCGTAATGCCTGATTACAATATAGCTAAAGCAGCAGCACAACGTATACTTGCATTACATAATAGACAATCTACAGTTGATCCATATAATGAAAATGGTTTAAAATTAGTATGTATTTAGATTTTAAATAAAATAAGTTTCTTCTTTTTGAAAAAAAAAATCTATTTGTAGGATGATTTTCAAGGAAATATCGAATTTCATAATATTGGATTTTCATATCCAACACGAAAAAATCGACGTGTCTTACGTAATTTTAATCTTAAATGTTTACAAGGACAAACGACAGCATTAATTGGTTCTTCAGGCTGCGGGTAATATAAATAAATTTTTAATAGATTTGCTATATTCATATTGATTTATTTTGAAGAAAAAGTACAACTATTTCTCTTCTACTTCGTTTTTATGATTCAATTAATGGTAAAATTTTTTTGGATAATCATGATATAAAAGCATTAAATATAAATTGGCTTCGTTCAATAATTGGTTTTGTTCAACAAGAACCAATTTTATTTGATCGTACTATAGCTGAAAATATTGCATATGGAATTCAAGATCGACAAGTATCATTAGAAGAAATACAAGAAGCAGCTACACAAGCTAATATTCATCAAGAAATTATTCAATTTCCTCAAGTAAGAAATTTGTGTTTTCTTTTTTATTTTACAACAATCTTCATATGAATAATAATAGGGTTATGAAACTAATTGTGGTAATGTTGGAAATAGTCAACTTAGTGGTGGTCAAAAACAACGAATAGCCATAGCTCGAGCATTATTACGGAAACCTAAAATACTTTTACTTGATGAAGCTACATCTGCACTTGACTATAGATCCGAAGGAGTAAGTTCATTAGAATATTAACTATTTATTTTATTTTATTATACTTAAGATTGTACAAGAAGCTATTGATAATGTACGAAAAGGTCGAACATGTTTGACTATTGCTCATCGATTAACAACTATACAAAATAGTGAAAAGATTGTAGTAGTTGACCGTGGTCGTATACGTGAAGAAGGTCAACATGAAGACTTATTGCGACAAAAAGGTTTATATTACAAACTTCAACGAGCAACAGAACAACGACATCATGAAACATGATTAATTTTTTTTCTTCTTTTTCTTTTTCTGAAGTCTTTCATATGTATCAGATAGTCGATAAAACTAGATTGTTTTTGTAAATATGAAATATTATGAATAAATAATCAATACACCTTATGCAAATAAAATCAAAGTTTGAATAATTGTGTATTTGAAAAAAATTAATTATGTACATCTTCTTATGCAATTTCATCGAAATCTTTGTAACCAGATTATCGATTAATTTGTATTATTTGGTAATAAACAGGATGGACCATAAATAGTAATACGATAAAAAAGATGAAATATCATCGTTGGAGTTCGCTCGAATAGACTGATTTCTTTCATTAGTCGTAAAAGCTTATTTAAAGTTTCTTTTTCCATATGGATGACGCAAACAAATAAAAATGTTAAGGTATATATTTAGCCTCACTTAAAAAACTTTACCGATCAACAAGTAGAAAAAATAATGTGCCCGAAATGGAAAATTGAAGCAGAAGTTTGTTTTCTTTTCTTTATATATGGTTACACAATACATCAAGAGCTGATCAAGAATATGTGCGATTTCAATTTTTCTATCATAATGCTACTTATGGTTCACCCTATATATAGTTGCTTATCTTGATTACTTATATTCGAATACTATTACAATGTACACAATAAAAATACACGATTGTCTACTATTATCTAGATGCTGAATGAATGTATTCATGTCTGAACAAATATTTGGTCTGTACTCTGAAATAGACACTGTTTATAATGATGTTAACATGCACTAGTAACAGTTCAATACGATTCTGAATCAGAGCTGGATATAGGACAAAACAAAAAAATTGTCCTACGCTCACTGCTATTCTGAATCGTAAAAGATAATGTCCGACAACTATATATCAGTAGATTCTGAGATTATATTATGAATAGACCTATAGATTTAATCTCGTATACCATGAATTTTGCTTATATGAATAATGTTACGATTAGAACATTTGATATTTAATTTAATTGGATCGAAATAACTCGAATCAATTAGAATATTCAAAATGATTCAGTTAAGAAACAAATAATATTGATATACTTTCATTCACGCTTCTATAATTATTCATTCCGATATATTGCAATGATTAATTTAACTAGTTCGGATTTCCACAAGCATCTAATTTTCATTTTGAAAAAAAAAAATGATATATTATATCAAAATAATTTTTTTCTACTTCATAATCATACAATCTAGTCTCAATTATGCATATAATATTCATGAATTAACATAACTAAAAATGCCATAATACTGGAATATTTTAAAAGATTTTATCTTTAGATTTATATTTACTTTAAATTTAGTTTTGTACGATATTTTGATAGAATTGACTTATTTAAAAGTAATACCTTATGATTAAGTAATAGGTAGAGATATTGTCATAACTAGAAAATTAACCTTGTACATGCTCTTTCCTTATTAACACTTCCTTTTTGAATATTTTTAACTTACCATAATCATGAAAAAATTACAGTCGTACATTACATTCTACAAAATAAAAACACGCAAAATTAGTCATATAAAAACAGAAAAATGTATGACGTTCTTCCTATGTCCTTTAATGTCTCTTGATTTTATCTTCAACGAAGAAATATAGGCAATAACTAAGTCATAAACATGAATGCACTCAAGCAAAGAAAATTAAAATGAGGAGGCTAAATGACGCATGAATGAATAAAATTTTTTCTATAACTGACTATGATTTAAATACTTGATTTGCAATAGAATATGTATGATTATAAACTATCACAATTAAGTAAAAAAATATTATATTAGTTTCTACATAATGGTACTTTTAAAAGATACAAATAATCAAGAATTTTTTCAACTCGATCATGATCAAACACCACAATCATATCTTGATAGAATAGCTCATGAAAATCAATTAGAATTAAATAAAAAACAATTTGCATTATTTATGGATGATCAAGATCCTCTTGGTTATATCAGACAAAAATTTTCCTATCCAAAATTAGGAACATTACCAAAAGGTTTGCATAAAATAATAAATATCATTTTGATAAAGACAAAAAAAAAACAATATCATTAATTTGTAGTTGATAAAAAACGAATTGAACCATCTAATGAATGTATCTATCTTTGTGGTCAATCACTTGGATTGATGCCTCTACGAACAATTGATTATATGAATGCATTTATGAATGATTGGGCTACATTGTAAGTTAGATTCATTGTTTTCATTCATGAAAAAGACAAAAATTATTTCAATTAATTTTTAATAGAGGCGTTTATGGTCATTTTACTGGTTCAAATCCTTGGGCAAAATGTGATATTCCATGTTTATCAACTATGAGTTTATTAGTTGGTGGTCAAATCAAAGAAGTTGCTCTTATGAATCAATTATCATCAAATCTTCATTTTATGATGGTATTTATCATTTAATATTCATGTTAAGTCAAAAATTGCTTGTTTTTTTTTTAAACATTTACAGACAGCATTTTATCAACCTCAAAGTAATCGTTATAAAATTTTATATGAAGAACATGCATTTCCAAGTGATCAATATGCCATTAATTCACAAATTAAATTACATGGTTACGATCCTAAAGATGCAAAAATTGTAATCAAAGCACGAGAAGTATGTTTAACTCAATTTATGATCTCTCTAAAAGTTATTCTTTTTTTTTATAGAATGAGAGTTGTTTACGAACTGAAGATATTCTTGATGTACTTCGACGCGAAGGTCATTCGATTGCACTTGTCATGATTGGAGGAATACATTATTATACAGGTCAATTATTTGATATTGAAACAATTACACGTGTTGCTCATGAACAAGTATAAACAATAATATTTCCAAAGAAAAAGTTTCTTTCTATTTATGATTTGAAATTTTTTTAAGGGTTGTTGTGTTGGATGGGATTTAGCACATGCTGTTGGTAATGTACCATTAAAGTTACATGATTGGCAAGTTGATTTTGCTGTATGGTGTACATATAAAGTAAATAATCAAGATTAAAAAGAATAAATTTTATTTTTTCTTAAATATAGTATTTAAATGGTGGAGCTGGATGTATTGGTGGAATATTTGTACATTCAAATCATTTTAAAGATAATCATTTGACAACACTTGATGGTTGGTGGGGTAATCGAGAATCAACACGATTCACTATGTTTGATGGTATAAAAAATTTATTCTAATTTAATATAAATAATATATAGTTATTTGTAGATATTGATCGAGATAAAAGTGCTCTTGGTTTTCGTGTTAGTAATCCATCAATTCATCAATGTGCAGCTCTTGCTGCTAGTTTAGAAGTATGTTTACAAATTAGTCTTGATTAAAGAAAGATAATCTGCTTTTTTTTGTTTCTAAAGATTTTTGATGAAGTAAGAATTGAACAAATTCGTGCAAAATCAATTATTCTGACTCAATATCTTCAATATTTACTTCAAACTGAATTAGCAGGTAAAGAAAAACTTTTCTTTATAATTTATTCAAAATTAATTTTAAATTTTTATTATTTTTTTTACAAACATGCAGATGTATGTCAATTTACTTTATTGACTCCTCTTAATCCTCAAGAACGTGGTGCTCAATTATCATTTCGACCTATTGATGTTACTGCTCAACAAATTCATGATGAACTAGAAAAAATTGGTGTTGTTGTATGTATAAACACAATAATGATTATCTCATATTCACAAACTATTCATTAATTACTTTTTTTTCAGATCGATATTCGCGATGATATTATTCGAATAGCACCAGTATCATTATATAATAGTTTTGCTGATATATTTCAATTTCTTTCATTACTCAAAGAAGCAATTATTGCATTAACAACAGTAAGTAAAGAATCAAGTACAAACTAAAAATGCTGCTTTTTGTATCTATTTTATGTTTGATTTTTTCAATCGATGTTATTGTTTTTATTTGAAGTATTTGTCCATAAAGTTTATTTTATAAATAAAAATATCTTTATTATTTATTTGATTATATCTTATGCAAAGAATGACATTTTATTTTATGATTATCATTACATCTATTGACTTGCTTTTTTTTTCTTACACAGGTTTAAGAACATTATATGATGAATAGTTTCTTCCTCATATTAACATATACATTCTGGTAAATGTATTCAGTCAGTGAGATTGCAATCTAATAGCATAAGTATTCAAAAATTATTCGAGAGATTTATTTCTCGACGAAAACATGAATTCTCAAATGTGACATTTATGATAGTATTTTTCTAAGAATATTTAACTAAATATTTATAGAATAAGTGCAAAGAGATATTGAAGTTATGTTATCTATAAAAAATGATCTAATTAAATTGTAAATAGAGAAAAATTGTTTTAATTTACTTTATCTTCAGCTTTTTCTGATAAGTTATTGAAACGTTTTTAATAAATAGAGGTCTGAAGAAAACAAAAATGATTTTTCATTTTTAGCATTTTTGTTTATTTCTCTAGTTCAATTAAATATATCTTTACATGTATCTAATGAAAGTTCATTTTAATTTCATACTCTAAATTTACATTCAAAACATCTTGAATTAAAATATAAATTTTCAGATTGACTAAGGAAAGCAAGAGAACAAAAGAAAATGGAAGACTTAAGTTATAAATCATTTTCGTTTTGACACTATGAAGATTACGAGTGTTGGTGATTCATTTCCCTTTATTTATTCATTACACTTACATCTAACGTATGAAATATGTTTCCTCAGACACATTTATTGTGATTTTTCTTTCATCTATAATTTTGCTGATCAGTATTTCTTTGTTAATTACTGTCAAATTATGTTTCAAGAAGTTTTTTTTTTTTTATAAATAACTCATCAAACTAGAATTTCTATTTCATTTGAATAAAATCAAAATATACAAAAAACAAAAGGAATAACTTTAAACAAATCACCGAGCAAAAATCTCCGACATAGATTATCAAATAGAAATAAATTAATTAATAACACAAAAAAATAATGCCTATACAATATTTTTATTTTCTATCTTTTTGATGATCTTCATATATCCATTTCAAAAATTCATAATCATAAATATCATGTTCTTTTAATATTTTATCACGAACAATTTTTGCTACGCCATCACAATGTGCAAAAGTACCAATATCACGTGCAAATTGAACAACTTTTGATGAATGAGGTATTCGTTTTTGTTCATATTCTCGAAATACAGAATCAATTTTTAATGGTCCATATTTTTTATAAGCAGTCACAAGTACATCAGCATCTTCTAATGCTTGTGCAGCACCTTGACCAGCATATTGTAACATTGGATGAGCTGCATCACCTAATAATACTAATCGACCACGACTCCATTTTGATAATGGATTACGACTAGAAAGATAATTAGATATGAAAGAAAATAAAAATAAATTCTATAAAAATATAACTTACTCATAAACAGGCCATCGAAAATTAGTTTGAATTGATTTTAAAGCATTTTTAACATGTTTACATCCAATACTAAATCGTTGATTAAGTTCTTCTTTTGTTCCCCATTCATCTGTATCATCAGGTATCTTTTTTGACTTAAATATAGCTGCTTGATTATATGATTCTCCTCGTCGAATAGGATACTGTACTAAATGTATATCAGGTCCAATCCAAAATTGAACATTTTCAAGACCAGCTTCTTTTGAAACTTGTTTAATATCTATTGTACCTCGATAAGTAACATAACCAGCACTAATTGGTGCACCATCATCACAAACAAATTTTCTTAATGATGACCAAAGACCATCAGCTGCAATTACCATATTACAATCATAACGCATTCCATCTGCACATTCAACCATTATTGATTTTGGTCGTTCATCAACACTTGTTACTGTACGATCTGTTTCCATTGTTATCATTGAATTTGCCAAACATGCTTGATAAATTGCATTAAAAAGATCAGCTCGATGTACAACTATATATGGATAACCAAATGTTTCAATGAACTTAGCACCTAAATCAATACATGTAAGACGTTGACCAGTTAAAGCATCCATCCATACAATTTGTTTAGGAAAAAAAGCATTAGCTTGTACTTGTTTTAAAACATCAAGACGATCAAGTATACGACTACAATTTGGTGCCAATTGCATACCAGCACCAATTTCACCAAATTCAGTCTTTTTTTCAAATAATCGAACTGGTATACCTGCTCGAGCAAAACTTAATGCTGTCACCATACCACTAATACCTCCACCAACAATTAATATAGATACTGAACGAGCATTAGTTAATGGATGTGGTATTCGAGTATGATTGATTACATTTACACCATTAAATATTCTTTCATTACGAAAATGTTTAAAAAAAAGTCGATAATCACGTTCAGCTATTTGAGCATAAGTCATAGAAAAAAGGCAAATATCATTAATTAATTCTTGTTGTTGATTATATGAAGATAAAGCTGTTTGAATAATATGTGTACAATGATCAGCATTATTTTCTATTGTATTTTGTGTTGGTATAATAGAAATTGGTGGTTGACAATGTGAATTCGCAACAATAATAGCTATTTGTTCAGCTAATATCATCAAATTAGCTACAGTATCAAATGTTTTCCAATTGATTTCATACATTTCATGTTTAATTGGAATTGAACTAATAACTGAAAATTGCTTATGAAGTGAACATGGTTTTATTTGATGAAATTGTTCTGTTTCAATAGAATTTTTTTTGCATAAAATCATCTTGTCTGTTGTTGTTGTTGTTGTAACGCATTTAATATATTGTCGAATAAAAACATGTAATATTTCAATGATTTCAGTATCACTAAAACCTTGATGATAAGCAATAAGTACAAGATTAGTTGCTAAACGTTTGAGATCCCATGTAAATGGTGCAATGATTTTTTTATGACGTCGTATTTTAAATATTCGTTCATTGTTGATATCATCAAAATAATAATGAAATTGACCAATATGTAAATCACCATGAATACAAGTTGGTTCCATGACTTGAAATGTTTCTTGATAATATTGTTGATCTTCATAAAAAAGTGCAACATTATGTTGATAAAATACAACAGGATTAATAGCAATACGTCGAAAATAAGCATGCCATGCTTTTGCTTCATATCTTTTCCCAGCCATTTGATATTTAGCAAACATTTGTATAAGATGTTTCAAACGTTCTTGATTATCACATAGAAGAATGTCTTTGATGGATATTGAATTTGACATATGTAAATATTCAAAGGAACTAATTATTGAAATCAATTGAGTATTTTTTCTAATATGATCGAATTGGGTCGAATTCTATGAATATATATGGGAAGAAATTAGTATAGATTTCATCACGACAATGTCATTGCGAAATATTTTTCGTGGAAAGGAAGAATCCCGTACGTCAGGTAACATTTTTGGTTGGTAGGAAGTATCACGCGTCATGGTCCAGTGGTTGTTTTGACTAATTCATTCGTTTTTTCGTCTGTCGTGGTTTTGTGATTCATCTGATTTTAAAGGAAGTGTAATTGACAGTCAATAGTGTGCTAAGTAGCTTGTCACATTCGAATGACTTCATATTCTTGTCTTGGATGATGCAAGTCAAGTATATTGTGTGACTACTGAAAATGTCAATATGTGTCATAAATCATATCGTTCATACGATATGGCCGTTCTGTTAACTATTATTTCTTAAAGTTCTCTCTACTTCCTTCTTTCTTCTAAATGTTTGTGTCGTGCCCTCCTCCTTATTCTGTCTCTAGTATATACATGCGCCAACCGGCACACTGCATGCCATTATTGTATGGTGTCATCCTTGTATGATATGACCCTTGTACGACATCATCCTTGTAAGAAGTCAATATTGTAACTTATTATCCTTCTGCAATATAATAGTTTCTTTTTTATTATGCTAGAGAATGTAACACTCGGAAGTGCTTACATGATAATGACAAAAGAAAATTGAGAACTTTAAGCCAAAAACAACATCATTAGTACAAAGCGTTTCACTGTTTGCTAACAATATGGTTGTGACGAATATTAGATCATTCTTGTAAGGATATGAAGAGGTATATAAAAGAGGTTGAAGAGAGAAGAAAGAAAAAGATATGAGGAAGGAAAAAAGAAAGGAAATGAAAAAATATGAGAGAGTGAAGAAACAGATCAATAGCGAAAAAAAAACCAGAAAAAAAGATTAAGATATTATATGTGCTCGTTCTTTTGTATCAATTCGTTTCAACAAGAGACAACAATCTTAAAAGAAATGACCGAGGTGATCGTTTTTTTCTTTTGTAGAATTCATCCCAAACGAAGATATCATTATAGAAAAGTGAGGATCCAAGGTCCGTCAAAAGAATTGTCCTCAATCTTCTTTGAGTATATTTTTTAACATAGAAGTCCATGGGATATTTCTGGAGTAATAGTATAAAGGTTATCTGCAGACACGAAGGGACAGCGATACACCAGTCGAAGACCGACACGAAATTTTTGTTGCAATATTTGTTGCTGTGTTTCTGGAAGCAGAGGATAAAAAGGAAATAACCATGCAAAATGTGGTAAGGTAAATGCAAAAAAGCATCGGTGAAGTGCTTTAGACGACATACTTCGTCTGGCTTTTAACTACCTTAGTTTACCTAGGGATTTCTGGATATTTCTAATGCATTTTTCGACAGTGGGTCTCAAGGATAGTTTATCAGTTCAAGTGAATCCCAAATACTTGAATTCTTTGACGAATTCAATTTTTTCTCCATTCATTGTTATATGTGCTACTGGTCTTTTCACTTGTGTATAAAACAACTGCGCTACTGTTTTCGATATATTTATCGGTTGTTTCCATTTTTTCGAGTACGCATACACTTGATCACAAATTTGCGTACCTTCTTTCTCAAGATATTGGATCATCGGAGTTAATTTCTTTATAATAGGTGGTGTAATAAGTATACTAAGATCATCTGCGAAAAGATGACCTGAATGAGCTCCTAGACAGTTTATTAGATCACAGCGGAACACAATAAACAAGTATGGACTGAAACTACTATCTTGAGGAAGTCCTATATATATATCGAATATTTTTGATATTTTTTTCGCCAAAAGCTACATACGCTCTTCTATCTTTTAACCAGCTAACGATTATTTTCAGTAGGTCTAGCGGCATACTCAAACTCCACAATTTAATTAAGAGGGCGGCATGCCAGACACGATCGTATACCTTCTGATAATCGACATAGATGGCAAGTGTTGGTAGATTAGCTGCCATGTTGTTTTTCACTTCCTGATAGATCGATAGTACTCGAGTGGAAAGGAGACATTTTGGACGGAATCCTGATTGTTCTATAGATACTAAATGATTACTTTTAGACCAATGTCTAATTCTTTGAAGCAGCACTTTTTCAAAAAGTTTTGAATGTGTTGTTAACAAGGAAATTGGACGTGTTTGATCACATTTAAGAACTCCTGATTTCAGTTTGTTTAGGGTTATTATCTTTGCTAGTTTCCATTCCTCAGAATATCTACCTTCACTCAACCATATATTAAAACATTTTGCTAGGCAGTCAATATAACCCAGAGGAAGTTTTTTAATCATGAAATTCAATACTAAATCAAAACCTGCCGACTTTTACGGTTTCAACATCTTTATTAATCGATGGATCTCAGTCATACTAGTTTCTTTCACTCGTTTATCAGTGATCAATAACTTATCTAATAATTCGTTATATTTAAATTCTATCTTAACATCAAATGCATCTGAGTAGTCTATCACAGGTGCTCTGAATTGCTCACGATAATATTGGCTTAATTCATCTGTAATTTCTTGATGTATTGAAAGCACTTTATCTTTTGTTGCTAGTTTGTAGAAGGGTAGTGTTTACGACTTATATATGCGAGATAAATGTATCCAAAATGCTTTCTTACTATTATCATGTGTCGCCCGGATATCTGATAAAAAAACTTTGCCATCGCTCTGCTTCATATTTACCAATCATAAATTTTGATTCTCTTGTTAAAACACGCAACAATACTCTTGTTTCTTCATAAGGAATTCCTTTTTGTCTAAGATGATAATATTTATTTCTCACTTTTCTTATTTCTTTTAATTTCTCGACAATACTACTTGGTAATGTTGATCTGTATTTTTCTTTTTCTTTCCAATGAGGCACTCTGTTCTTAACAACAGCGATAAACCGAATGTATTCTTTATATTACTCATCAGCACTATTTTTCTTTTGTTCTTCCACTCAGAATGTTTGAAGTAATACTAATACAGCTTCAAACGCCTTCCAGTTTGTATGAGGAAAAATATTGCTGGTATCGAACGAAACATTTTCACATGACAGCACCGTCGGCCAGTGATCATTCATGCCGAAATGCAATGTTTCACTTGAAATATCAACACTATTTGAAAGTGATAAATCTATATTACGTAGAGAGCGCTTAGATGAGTGCGAGGTTGATGGTATGTAATTAAGGTTGTTCTCTTCAATCCATTCTTTCATACTCGCACCTCTCTTATCTGTTAATGAACTATTCCATTCCTTCACTGTAGCGTTAAAATCACCCGTCAGAATAGTACCTTCTACTACATAGAGAAGACTATCATCAAGATCACATTGTTGACTAGTGGGTCAATACATACCAATAATACGCATTGGTTCTGAGAGGCATGTTATATCGATAATAACTATATTCAGAACGTTTACATCAGTGCGCGTTGCTTTCACATTCTTTCCTATTGCAATGCACACTTCTCCATTACAATTAGTACCCTTTTCATAAAATGTATTGAAATGTGGTAATCGACATGTGTTCCATACGTCTCCTACTTCTGTAAAAACACAAATAGATGCTTGTACTTTGTACACTAAATCAATTACTTCCAGTGACCGTGTACTCCACCCTTGGACATTATAACATAAGATCTTTAAATTTTCCTTTTTATTACTGACTACCTCTGAATCCACACTTTCCCACTGTTATAAAACTGAATTCAAGGGTCTACTTGAATATCACTCATCTAAAAAAGAAGATACTATCTTTTGATCTTTTGTTGAAAAATTCCATATTCTTAATTGGTGTATCGCATATTCTTTAGGACTAGACAATTGTTCTAGGAACATCGAAGGCAAAAATACTTTAGCATGAACATTAAGATTAGACATCCTACTTAATGATTTGTATGTCCGATGATGTTGGCATATTTGATGCTGGCTCAGCAGTTATATTCGATGTAATGTTGTGAGTGACGGTTGGCGACGTGAACGAGATCTTACGATTAAATTGAAATCCATCATTTAAACTAATAGAGGCTAAGTGAAAACGACTGTAAAACTGTTGTGCGACTGATATCAAAGATACTCGATCGACTCGAGTAGAAGTTAGTGATGGAGGTATAAGATGTTGAATAAAGTCCTTCATTGTAGTAATGGCATCGAACAATGCTGCTTGATGTAATTGTGTATCAAGTGTAACAGTTTCCAAATCGGCTTTTAGTTGATCCATGTTTTCTTCTACTCGTTGGTTACTGCCTAACAATTTCGACAGTTTATAATTGATGTTCTTCAATACTTTTTCTGTTGTTACTAC